TCCTCTTGCCTTAGTTCCAAAAGCTAACTAAGTAGGGGACTTACCGAGGAAGGTAGAGATCCAAGTTCTAGGTTCCACTCACTTGGAGAAAGTTTGCACCTTTTGACTTCCTAGCCTAGTGCACTAATGACTGTGCCATAGGTCAGGTATCATCTAGCCCACTGTCCATTGCTCTGTTTGAGGTGGCTCCCTGGACAGCCAAGAGAGGAAGATATATGTGGCCAGAAAGGAAGGGAGCAGGTTAGAAGGTATGAGATGGCTGCTGCTCTGGAAAAAGGTAGGTGCTGAAAAGCATGCTGTTTAATGCCTCAGTTGTGACATGCAGAGCAGTATGCTTAGAAGTCAAAAAAACTTGGGTCTCGAGGTTCCTGGTGGAGTGCCCTAAGTGCTCAGCTGCTGGGGCTCAAACATAATAGGGTCAACCTTTTCTGGATTTACTACACATGCTCAAACCACACTGCAGGGAAAGTTGAATTGCCAAGTCAGTGCCAAGAATGTCACTTCTCTGGCTAGAAAACTGTCACTTTAATGCATACAGGGAAGCTATACTTCAACTGGCTTTACATTTGCTAGTTTGGGTACATGTAACAGTCTGGGCAAGGCAGCATGAGCTTCAATGTGGATGCAAAAGCTCCCCCAGGAGCCTGGTGAACTTCTTTTCTTTGGTAGCAGAAATCCATGTCATGGCTCAGCTGCTACCAGTGCCCAAGATAGCTAGATTGAAGAGAGTTGGGTGATGTTTACATGAGCGACAGTTGCACATCTCTGCACAGGTGATGAAGCATGCAAAGGGGATTTGTCCACTTTTTAGAAGTGGCACAGAATTCCCAGCTTCAGGACTTGATGCTGGACAGGGCATATTTTCATAGCACTGAGACAATGAACACAGGCACTAAGTGACTAAAACACAAGATCCACTATTGTTTTTCATTAGGACGTGTACACTGAAACCACTTGGGCACTATTGGCAATACTCTTATGGTTTTCAAATTCCCATTTAGCTCTGCTCCTACTTCCAATCTTACTTTTACCATCCATTATTATTAGTATTAATATTATTAGTATTCATATTATTATTAATTATGGACACGTACCCTGGTGTGCTAGGTGCTGTAGAAAACACAACAAATAGGTAGTTACTGCCGTAAGGAATGTACAGCTCAGTCTACATTCCTTTCCCCTGGCTTCACTGGAATTGGAGTTCCATTTTCTGAGAGATCCCTTTTTAGCTGGAAGGTCCCCTTGTATACGACTGGATTGATTTTACTTGACTTACCATCCATTATATGGCTGCCTCCTGTCTCAGAGGACTAGATTTGATAACCCAGGCAGGCCCTTCCAGTCCTATGACTTCCTCCTCTCTCTTTTGTTTATGAGGCTTTAGTAAGTTTCCCAGCAATTAATAACTCCGTTTCCTCACTTGTAAAGTTCAGGTCCTTTTGACCAGCTTCTTATTTTTACTCTTGTACCATGATTCTGTCAGGTATGGGAAGAGGCTAGGAAATGCCCAGGGACTGTGCTGCAGGAAGTGACAGGGACAAATCATTAAATTGCATGAGGCAAAGAATTCTGCCTGTGGCCAGCATGCCCCAGGTGAAGGTTGCATGGGTTTTACACCTTCTTCCCAAGCCCTGGGCACTGGTAACTTAGAGACAGGGTAGTGACTTGATGGACTCAGTCTGCTCTGGTGTGGTCAGACTACTGGTCAATGGATCACTGGTCTGTTCTAGTTCAGCAGCATTGTTATCTCTGTTTGTGTGCTGAGATGCATGGCCCCTCTACATCAGGTTATGTTCAATTTTAAATTTTCATTATAGTGAGACTGGATATCATGCAAACTTCATCAAATATAAACTTCTCAAAAAGATACAGCTTTAAATGCTTACAGCCCAGTACATTACAATACTGCAGGACTGCTTGCTGCACTTCCAAATGGACATAAGAGATTACAGCCTTTGAAATCCAGCTAAAGTCAGCCAAGCATGCACTGATTACCAACCTATGCCAAAATGATGGAGGGAGGGAAGATTCTTTTAAAGGTAGTTCATGCCATCTGCTTTTGAGGTGAGTGGGTGGGAAGTCAAAGCAAATGGAAATTGGTTTCCCACCTTCTGCTCATTTTTATTCATATTCTTTTATCAGATGCAAAAGAGATCAGTACAAGCTGTATCACACATGAATCAAGGAAACCGCTTGCCCATTAATCAGTTTTTACTTTCCCCAAATATCAACTTTCTGGATTTAGCTCAGTGATTGTATCCACTGTTAAGTAAATATGGGCATGAAATATTTTTTCTGTCATAGAATCATAGAAAATTAGGGTTGCAAGGGACCTCAGGAGGTCATCTCATCCAACCCCATGCTCCAAGCAGGACCATTCCCAACTAGATCATCCCAGCCAAAGATTTGTCTAGCTGGGTCTTAAAACCTCCAAGGATAGAGATTCCACAACATCTCTGGGTAACCTGTCCCTGTGTTTTACTACCTAGTAGTAATTTTCTCCTAGTGAGAAAATTATTCCTAATATCTAACCTAAACTTCCCTTGCTGCAACTCGAGACCATGGCTCCTTGTTCTGTTGTCTGTCACCACTGAGAAGAGTCTAGCTTCATCCTTTCAAACCCCACTTCAGGTAGCTGAAGGCTGCTGTCAAATCCCATCTCGGTCTTCTCTTCTGCAGACCAAATAAGCCCAGTTCCCTCAGCCTCTCCTCAGAAGTCATGTGCCCCAGCACCCTCACTATGTTTGTTGCTCTCCACTAGACTCTTCAATTTGTCCACATCCTTTCCGTTGGGGGGGGTGCTCAAAACTGAACACAGTACTCCAGATATGGCCTCACCAGTGCGAAATAAAGGGTAATAATCACTTCCCTTGCCCTGCTGGCATCTACCAATACAGCCCAGTATGCCATTAGCCTTCTTTGCAACAAAGGTGCGTTGTTTGCTCATATAGCTTATTGTCCACTGCAGCCCCCAGGTTCTTCTCTGCAAAGCTGCTGCCCCCAGCCTGTCCTGGTGCACAGGATTGTTCCATCCTAAGTGCAGGACTTCGCACTTGTCCTCGTTGAACCTCATGAGATTCCTTTTGACCCAATCCTCCAATTTGTCCAGGTCACTCTGAATCCTAGCCCTACCCTCCAATGTATCTACTACTCCCCCCAGCTTGGTGTCATCTGAAACCTGCTGAGGGCGCACTCTATCCCATCTTCCAGGTTGTTGATGAAGACCTTGAACAGAACCAGCCCCAGGGGCACTCCACTTGATACTGGCTGCCAACTAGACATCAAGCCATTGATTACTACCCTCTGAGACCAATGCGCCAGCTGGTTTTCTATCCACCTTACAGTCCATTCGTCCAGCCCATATTTCCTTAGCTTGAGTGCCTGAGCACTGCTGTATTGCCCTCCCAGCAGATGTCAGGGTTATTGAAGTCCCCCGTGAGAACCAGGGGAAACTTCCACTAGCTGTTTGAGGAAAGCCTCATCCACCACTTCCTCCGGGTCTGGTGGTCTATAGCAAACCCCACATCACCTTTGTTGCTCTCACCCTCTAACCTTAACCCAGAGACTTTCAACAGTCCTATATTCAGTTTCATACTGGAGCTCTGAGCAATCATATGGGTATTTTATGTAAAGCACATCTCCTCCTCTTCTCCCCTGCCTGTCCTTCCTGAACAGTTTGCACTCATCCATGGCACTGCTCCAGTCACGCGAGCTCCCACCAAGTCTGTTATTCCAATCATGTCATAGTTCCATGACTGTGCGAGGACTTCCTGTTCTTCCTGGTTGTTTCCCAGGCTCTGTGCATTTGTATACAGACACCTGAGGTAACTAGTTGATTGCCCTGATTTCTCAGGAAGTATGAGAACACCAGCTCTGTTGTCCCCTCCTGCTCACTCTTCCTCCAGGTCTCCCACTTCCTCACTTACCTTTGGGCTTTGGAAGCTCTCCTGTGAAACTCTTGAAGATTTCAAAAATATTCCTCTTACATACCAGCATGCCCCTGAGACCTTCAGATGGTGGGGACTTCCTCCAGTTTTGTTTTGATTTGGTGAGAAGATAGAAAAAAGAAAGTTTCAAGTTAGAGTAACCAGTACCCCAATATTACATACCTGGTGTCGAGGAGAGCCCCGTTTGCCTTATTCAGAGTGCAGACTTGAAACAGTGTTCTCTAGTCCTGCAGAACCCCTAACTACTGGTGTGTTGGCTCTCCTGCTCTGATTTGAAGCAGAAATTCCACTCTGAAGAGGTTTTCTTGAAAGTTTTGTCAAAACTGATGTTTCCCTGGAAACTTAATTTTGATGAATCAGCACTTTCCAATAAAAAGCCATTTGGTGAAAGAATTTCTGACTGGTTCTAATGTTAAATATGCTTAGTAATATGCAGATAGTTTTGCTTCTTGTGTCTTTAACTGAGGGAAAGGAGTTTTACTGCTGAGAGGGATGTTGTTAAGGATGATTATGGAGGGAAAGACAATCCCACTTCACAGTTCTGTCACTTAAGGATTTTTGAGATGGATGGACTATAGGAGGCATTGCATAAAGTGCTTGATTCTGGGGTATTTTTATGCCAAATACTCTTTCATTTAAGGCAGATGAAAAATTAAAGACTTTGCATAACAGTAGCATAGCATAGCTGCAGGCCTTTCTATTTTGGCTTCCTCAGTGCTCCATACTATAAAGTAAGGGAAAGATGCTCTATGCAAATGCTGAAGTTTAAAATCATCAGAGAATTTCTCAGACCCTGGTATATTAGAGGAGAGAAATGGCTCTAATAATTTTCAAAAGAAAATCTCCCATAAGCAAGTTCATCCCACAGTAATAATTAGCACTCCTGGTAAGATGAATTGTGTAGCTTCTTTACAGCTTCCTTAGGGGTCAGTGAATTGTTTTTCCTGATTTATTCTACAGCAGAAACTGGTGCTTTCAAGACCTCTCTCTCAGATATTAAAAGACAATCCCTCCTTAATGCTGTTAAAACCTATTGTGTGTTTTTCTTTTCAGATTTTTCGACGTGCTGACAAGAATGGTGAGTATACGTCACTCTTTACCCTGACTCTCTTCTCATGCCTATTGGCGGGGGGTGGGGTGGGAGGAATAGTTCTTTCCTTCCTGAAGCATCTGCTAAAGAAATGGCAAAAAGAAAAAGAGAAACATGTCTCTGGCTGCAAGAAACGCAGCCTACCATTCTAAATTTCCTCCCTCTGCTACCCTGGAAAAAAGTTTTTGGGACAAAATGAAATTGGGTTTTTGGGACAAAAAATTGTCAAACCAGATCAGACTGGCCCATGTCATCTATACAGCTTATCTTTACTGTGGTCGTGTGGTCACAGCAGATATCCCAGTTATCAACCAGACTGGTTTCCCTTCTTCAGACTGAAAATGAAAGAAGGTGTCGATGGGTTCATATAAGAATGCTTTAAAGCAGAACACGCTTGATTCTGTATCATCATGCATATTTGAGCTGCACACACATCTGATTATATTTTAGAGCGTATTGGTTCTGCTGAGGTTTTGCATTTTCAGACTCTTCCAATCTCACCCATAATTCTGTAAAATCTTCTATTAGTAGAAGAGATTATGAATTCTTAATATCCCTTTAGCCCTTAGCACCTGGCTTTGTTGCAATAGAGGATTGTGAGAGGTTGCTAACCCATGTATCCTCAGAATCTGACTTGTTTCCAAATCTAAATAAACTTCACCAAAATAGATATATAGCTCAAGTTCTCATGCTCGCTTCAGCATCTGATGTGTGTGAGATAGATTTCCACCTATGAAATCTATGACACATACACACATATATATTTATTTTGGTTAGTCTATAAAGTGTAACTCTGCCTTCTACAGGATTTTGTTAGCCAGAGTTGGCACCAGTAAACAGGATGCATGGGTTAGCAACCTCTCACATACTCTATTGCAACAAAGCCAGGTGCCAAGGGCAAAAGAGATATTAAGAATTCATAATCTCTCACATAGTGTGTGTGTGTGTGTGTGTGTAAATAAATAAAACAAGCTTGCATGAGATGATAGATCAAGATATATCTCGATATCTATATCTATTGTAACAGGGTGGGGTCCCTAGGGATGCCCGTGTTCCCCTAGGGCTCCTTAACCGTGCTAATCTTGCCCAACAGGCACCCTCTATCTTGCCCACCACGTTTTGCTGGTACTATTAATATAGGGAGGCTGCCCTTGATCCTTTATGTTTGGACACGGTCTTGCTGGATCCTACTGAACCCTGGGGTTTGTAGACCCCTTGGTGCCCCGCTTCACAGTGGATGTCTCCTGAGACACTCTCAGCCTTCTGGGCTATATGCGTGGCTCCATACCACCCCTTTACCATGCCCCAAGCCTCACAGATGATACTGACATTGTCTCACCTAGGCCTTGCTATAATTCAGCCCCCTTGTCCTCCCTGGGCTCTCCACAGCCCTGTCTCTGCGCCTCACTGGTGCCGAGCTCTTCACAGCCCTGTCTCTGCGCCCTCTGGTGCCGGGCTCTAGTCTCCCCCTTGCCACTGCGCCCTCTGGTGCTGGGGTCTGTGCACCCCAAATACTGTACCCACACTGGTGTTGGGGTCGCCACACTATAGTGGGCCCCCAATGAGGCCTCCTCCTTCCCCAGTAGCCTCACCCAAACCACCGGTATTATAAACCAGCAAACAAAACATGAGCCCCTGGGCTATAACAGAATACCAAAGTTCAGGGTGTGTTCTGCCCCTTTAAAAGAATAAAACTTTCTCCCTGGTACTAAGTGCCTGGTGAGCTCCAGGAGCCCCATTAGCCCTAAGGGCAGCATGTCTGGCGGCTGCCACAGGGCCATTTCTCCCTGGAGGCTCCTTCCCCTTCAGCTGCTGGCAGGGAACTGCCTTCACTAGTCCCAGCCCTGGGGTTTATATGGGCCCAGGGCCCTGCCTCTTCCATCCAGCTGACCAGGTGCAGGTGCAGGCTAAGTTCCTCATTAGTCAATTGACCTGGTAACCTGCACCTGGGCTCCTGTCTGGCTCTTTGGGCTCTCTCCCAAGGCAATCTCTGCTCTTAGAGGAGCAGGCACCTTAGTGCCCTGCAATACTATATATGTCAATATAGCTATAGATATATATATATTTATATATTATATTAGTTTAGGCTCATATTAGTTTAGACTTTTGATTTTTCTACTCTCCAAACTCTTGCTTCATTACTTAAGGTTTGTTTTATGTTGCTGGTTTGGGATTTATTTGAATTTGCCTTATGCAGCATCCTCCTTCTGATTGGCCAAAGTCCACAGCCCACTCTGAAAGGAAATGCAACACTGGTGAGGCTGCAGTTGGAGTACTGCATCCAGTTCCAGGTGCAGCACTTCAGGAGGGATGTGGACAGCATTGAGAGGGTCCAAAGGAGGGCCACTCGCATGATCCGGGGACAGCAGGGCAGACCCTACGAGGACAGGCTACAGGACCTTAACCTGTTCAGCCTTCACAAGAGAAGGCTGAGAGGGGACCTGGTGGTTGTCTATAAACTTACTAGGGGGGACCAGCAGGCAGGCATTAGTAGGCACTACTTCACAGTCAGGGCGGCTAGGATCTGGAACCATCTTCAAGGGAAGCGGTGCTGGCTCCTACCTTGGGGGTCTTAAGAGGAGACTTGACGATTACCTAACTGGGGTCATTTGAGCCCAGTTTTCTCTCCTGCCCAGGGCAGGGGGTCGGACTAGAAGATCTGAAAAGTCCCTTCCGACCCTATATCTATGAATCTATGAAACTCGGAAACTGCAAAACCAAGAACTCCCCTCTTGTATAGATTTGTTATTTCCAAACTCTGCATCCAGGCTTTCAGACTTGCCCTCCAGAGATCCCTAATCCCTCTCCATTGACTGCATAGAGAGCCTTGGCCCCTAATCCTGTTTTGTTGAATCATTCTCCTGGGGATAAGTACTTCATATTTAGACATGTTGAAGTCTATGTTGGAGGTGCCTAAGAGGCTGATCTGGATTTTGCCTTTAGCAGCAACTGACCAATATTCATTGACATATTGTGTGTCCCCCAGAGCCAAGAGTGGAGGGCTGTTCTGTTTCACAGAGGATTTCAAGATGGCAGAATCTGGCTTGTTTCCAAATCTAAATAAACCCCACCAAAATTCTCCACGTAGGAAAGCAAAAAAATCATATTGGGTCAAGTAGGATACCAGTATTTTCTTCCATAAAATCTGACTTAAAAATTGGTACATTATAACACAAAATTAAAAAGATTCCAAATGGAGAGTCATTTCAAAATGAAAACTCAGGATCTTTCATTCTGAACAGACTGAAACGTTATCAGAATTCTTTTCCTTGGTTGTTCTGAAATGAAATTCCAGGCAAATTGCTCCTGTTTTGCCAAGTTTTTTTTTATTTCAACAGCATGACACATTCTGGTGGGATGTGGTTCCACTGACACTTCTCAGCTCTAATTTTTATGCAGGCCATGCCCAATCACCCCCCCATTTCTAGTACAGACTCTACTGGGTGGAACCAAGGCCTGTAATGCTAATCTACACAGATGTATAATTATTCTTCTCTCATTTAAATGCAGATGACGGAAAGCTGTCATTTGAAGAGTTTAAGAACTATTTTGCTGATGGAATCCTAAGTTCTGAGGAGCTGTGGGAGTTATTCAGTGGAATTGACAGGCGTCATTCAGAGTAAGTATGACACTGACATTGACAGGAGGGTGCAAAACAGGATTTAAAATTTAAGTTTCTCCAGATAAAATGAGATTTGGAGATGGATGCAAATAAATGCTCTGCAATAAATATCCAAGGTGAGATAAATCCACGTATTGGAATCATCAGATACTAAAATCCATTGAATGTGAGGTACAAATATGGGGACTGGGAGAAAAGTCAGACATGTGGGGAATAATTGCTCTCAGATTTATTTTAATGCATTAAAAGCAATATCTATTTAAAATTTATATTACATTGATCTGCAGTTTAAAACTGTTTCAGAAATATGCAACACTAAAATATGCTAGACATGAGAGAAACAGGTAGTCAGATCAGTACAAAGAGTAGGCAATTATCTGTATTATTGATGTCACATAGGAACTAAAATTTTACTAACATAAGCTGCTTTACACCACTCTGGTACTGAAAAGTGGCCTGAAGAGGGAGCTTAGTATAAACTGAATTTAGACTTATTTTTAAGTCTGGCCATATTCTGATCTTAGTTAGACTGGTATAATCCTAGGGATGCGTTTTGGCAGGGATGTGGCAGGTGAGGGTGGGATGCTTTTTGGTAGGTGGGTCACAGATTAAGTACCATGCCTTCCCCAAGTTCTACTCAGATCCCCTTCCCCTTCCTGATTCACTGCTTTGCTTTCTATTCCATGTCCTGTGTTCGGTGTCCTGCTGTTTTCTGCTTCCTGCCCTCTTTGCCACTGTGCTGCCTGCTCCCTCCCAAATCTGCTGTGCGCCACATGGAAGCTGCCTTTGCCACTTGTGGCACTCTTGCTGCAGGTTGGCTGCTCCTGTCGTACACAAATCCTTCATTACCTGCAGTAGAATCACCCCAAAATCACACTGATGCTGTTGAGATCAGAATCTGTCCTTGTGTGCTGTTCTGTAAAAGGGTAGTTGAATAACAGGTGAAAAGTTTGTACTTTGATGAAAGAGAGTTTTGTCCTTGCTAGAGATCCATTTAAATTAATGCAGATGCACAGAGAATGAATTTGGCCCCAGCTGGCAGCAGCCTGTCCTTAATCGTAGTAAGTAGCCCCAGCACAAGAAAGCAGTCTGCTCAGGAAATCTGTTATCTGAACAGTTCCTCAGCATGAAGGTCTTTACCCTCCCGGTCCCTCTGAGCAATGGAAACATCATTCCCAATGTCAGTTGAAGGAATCCAGACAGAGAGGGCACCTATACATGCACCAGACATCTGCTTCAAAGTATGCACACATTGGAGCAGACTCAATTAATCAAGCTTTAGTTCAAGTTAAATGAGCTTTTGTTCAAGTGTCCCTGCTACCGTTTTGAAGCATGGGATGCTGAATACACGTGACACTGTGGGTGCTTTAATTAGAGTGGCTCTCAGAACCACTGTAATTAAAGTACCCGCCTCTCCACCACAGAGCATGTGTATAGTCTCCCAGAGAGATTAAAGTCTGGACCCAGTGAAGGACGTGGGTGCCTAAAGCAAGAGATTTACAAGGAACTGAGGCATCTAAGTTCAAAATTGAAATCCAGGAAGTACTGCTCATCTGCCACTATATCTAGAAGTGTGTGAGCTAACTAGGCATCTCCCTTTCTGACTGTACAGCTCTTGGGTGCTAGAGTTCTGCTTCTACACATGCCCAGCATTACCCCAGTGTAAGCAGTTCTATATCCCCAACCTAGTCTCAGTCAGGAGCCAGGATGTGATCTGCCACAGCCCCTGAGAATGCATACCAAGAGTATTGGGCTCCTTATAGAATACACTTCTGGAGGATTTTTTAAGATGGCTGCACTACCCACTTTCTAAAATTAAGGCCTAATGGTTAGAGCACTTGCCTAGGAAGTAGTAGTGCCCCATTAAACCTCGTCAATACAAGGGAGTTCAAACTCGCAGCTCTTATCTCACAGGAGACTGTCCAAAACCAGTAGGCTGTGAGCTAAGCTGGTTGGAGGTAGTGAGAAGTCAAGTTTTCAACTTCCTCAGGCTGAGAGAGGTCTTGAACCTAGGTCTCTTGTTGTGCTGGATTAGCACTCTGTCTTGTAAGATATTATATAAATAGTGGGTGTTGACACCATGATGACAGTAGAAATGGTGTAAAAGAAGCATGAGCTCTTACTCAATTCTTTGGAAGAATGAATATAGGCAAGTTAGAAGCCAAAGTTCTAGCCCCAGCTGTCTTACCCATGTAGCATAGGAAGTCTGTTGCAAAGAAAAGGACTAAACTTACATTTCTGTAACCTTGACTTCAAGACCCATCTTTTTGCTATGGTAGTAGCTGGATTAGACCATCTGCTGGCTTTCTGTGTCTGCCATCCTGCAGGGGCTGAATAGATCCTGCATGTTTGGTGTCAGTTTAGTCACCACAGGGTTTGTACTTACCTGAGGCTGAGAGTCTGTTAAAATCTTTTCTGAGCATCAGCGTGGACCACTGAGCTCCAAAGCAATTTCTCCATCAGGAGTTTGACAGCTCCTCCTCTGCACTGCATCTCCAGCAGACTTTCCCCCAGTTGGTTCCTAAATGGAAGATGCAACTTTTGCATTTTATCAGTGAATATCTGAAGTGAAACTACTGTATAAACCAGGGCTGTCCAACTGGCAGGCTACATGTAGACCCCTCCCCCCGCCAAAGGGTTAATATGTGGCCTGAGTGTTCCCAGCATGGCTGCCATTGCCATCCATCCCTCTTCTGCTGTTGCTCCTGCTGTGGCAACTGTGTTCAATGGGCTCCCCTGCCCTCCTCCAACTTCTACTTCCTGCCTCTGCTCCTAGGGGTGGGGTGGTGCAGCAGGAGGGGGCTGGGCTGCTCACACTGTCTTGAGAAAGCCAAGCCACTCAAATGCAGGTGGGCATCTGGCTGGGAAGGTGGGAGGTGCCTACTTCACCTTACACCTGCTGTACAGCCTTGCTCCAGCCCAGCATGGCTGAAACACTGAGATCAGTAGCATGACTAAGGGGGAATGAGTGTGGCACCAGCCCTGGGCACCAACTTAGGGAGGGCACAAGAATAGCATCTGCCACTGCTGCCAGCCTGGCCCTGCCTGTGGTGGCCTGGCTGCGGCCACTGCTGCATGTGATGCTGCCACCAGGACACAACGTTCCTGAGCTACACTTATGACTGAGGTATTGCTACTTCTAAATTGGCTTCTATTATGGCATGGTTGCTTTGATCTGGGACAGACTGAACTTTCAGAGCATGCGGAATAGGAATAACCATAGAAATTCTGTTTTGGTCTGAGCCTATCTCAGCAGTTAGTTACCTGAAAACCTGTAACATTTAAGCTGTCTCTATTATACGCTCAAGGATGGATCCAGCAAGTTCTCAGTGAGTTCTTCAGAGTAAAAGGCAGCTCTTCTTATTTTCCAGCAAATGCTGTGGCAAGTACTAAGTTGATTTCCCTCCCATAAGTGTTGCCACAAAGTATTACAAACCACAAAATAATCTTAGTAGATGAAGAACAAATTAAACAGCTTGCCATGAAAGTCTATTGAGATAAAATTTTGCTATTTTAATGGTAAAAAATGGTGAGGAAAATGAGATCAAAGGGGAAGGGGAGAAAAGCAGTATATTTAACCAGTAACACAGTCCTCCAGGAAGGACAACTCTTCCTTTACACCCACATGATCTATAAGATACCACCTCTAGTTTCCATAATATGTAATGTGTACACCAAATAAGCAGACTAGGTGAGGCAGCTTAGGGGAGGATAAAGCATCCTGAGTGTCCAGGTGAAATAGTTTCCTTAGTTGGCATGGAGGAGGTTTCACACACTAACCATTGTGACTGCCCACTTTTGAGTTCTGAATTGACTCAGCCAATGGGACAGGTGCAGTGGTGTAACAATAGTGAGGAATTGCATTTCTATCTTCTACCTGTCTTCTGAAACATTATCCCAGGGATGCTAAATGGCTGCAATGTGAAGAGATTCACACCCAGGTGCTATCTGGGAAAGGTATTCATCAAGTAGTAATATCTGTGTATATTTCTAAAGTTCTTATGAATATTCAGTAAGTCATCTGAGCTTTCTAAATGCTGGTTCTTTTGCATATAGAGGACACCTCAGGCTGTGGGGTTATTTTTGATCTAGGCCTTTTAGAACAGCTTTTGACCATCTGTCTGTCAGCTATTCCCAGTGGAACTAAGTTCTCTTCATCACTGATCTTTTTTCTCTCCCATCTATTCCCCACCCACTGCTATGTAGAGGTTTCTTTATCATTTCTTCTCTTTAGTCACCTGTCTGTGCAAGCTTTTCCCAGAGCCATTGTGAAGCAAAAACCTCTTCAGAATTGCTTCTGTCCAGCATCCCAATTAGCTGTTCTCAGCCACTCTGCAAAGTGAGGTCTCTTCAGAGCTGCTCCTGACTACAGCTGTTCAAATCAGGCCATTTTGACTAGGCAAGGAGGTGGGAGTGGGGAGTGGAGTAGGGGGAAGAGAGAGATGTGTGTGCAAAATATGGAAAATGTCATTCTTTCTAAATCCTCTGCAAATATTTTTCTCTTAAAAATGTAAAATGTAAACCAAAACCATTTTTATTATTATTTTTAAAAAATCCTTGTTTTGGTTAAATAAATATTTGTTTTCTTTGGTGAAAAATAAAATAAAATTCTGATGCAAATTAAAATTTTCTGTGAATACCAGTACAGTATATGATTTTGCTTTGGAAGCTATATTGTGAAGAATATTTATACTATGGAAAAAGACATTGGTGGAACACCTTTCAAGAAGCATTACCTTGACCATGTGGCCATGTAGCCCATCATAGTTTCTGTCCTACTGACCTTCTGGTATTGTAATTGTCAGATTTAACTGGCTTGACTCTGAGGAGGTGTCTTATTTTTGTGTCAGCTCTTACGGTTCAGAGAGTTGCTTTTGCATGAGCACTTGATTTTACGCAGATTGTTAGGTTGTTTGGGACAGGCACTGTCTTCTCCTGTATTTGTTGGGCATCCAGCACAATGGGCCTTACATCCAAAACTGGGGCTTCTACATGGC